AAAGAGACACGCGGTGGCCGCTTTCTCCCTTCTCGCCAGCGAAGGCTCGGGGGAGGCGTGGCTTCGGCGCGACCCCGTGGGGTGAGTACCGCCTCGTGAACCCAATCCCCGCGGGTCACCCAGCTGCTGTGAAGCAGAGAAGGATTCAGGGCTGCGACGTAGGGGCTTTATTGCTTCTTTGCCTTTGAGCAAAGCACCACTGTTCCTCAGCCTCAGCTTCCTTGTCTGTAAAATGGGTATCCGCCTTTTCTCTAACCATCTCACCTCGCCGTGGGCGATCGTGAATGTGGAAGAAGTTTGTGAGCTGTAGACTCAAGGCCACCGGCTCATGTGTGTGCGTGTGTGTGTGTGTGGGGGGGGGCATCAGTCTCTCTGAATGTTTCCAGATCAAAGCGCCTCTGAGGGTGCCCACTTACTCCAGGAGGCTTCCCAGTGCCAAGCCAGCGTCTGAGTAAGCTGGAGACGATCTCTCCAGACAGAGAGAGTTGCCTGGGACTGAGGTTGAGCATGAGTTCCATCTGAGGAGGGCCTGGCTGGCTGAATGTGGGCCTGTTGAGTGAATCTGTGTGTAACGGACCCTGTGTGGATGGTATGTGATCCTTACACTAGCACCCACAGGCTGTGTTACCATGGCAGACACTGGGTAGCTCTCAAGCATGTTCCAGTCTCTGCGGTCACTCTATCTTTCTTTTTCCCAAAACCCAACCCTGCCCTCCTGAGAGAAACCGGGACAGAGATTAAAGAAAGGGAAACGAGAGGAATGCTACGGGGAATGAGAATTAAGAAGGCAGAAGGAAGATGTTTTTTAAAAGCCAGAAGGTGCTCAAACCAGGGTATAACAGAAATTGTCCCAGCAAACATGTATTACAGAGAGTGCCAGACTCTGTGCTAAGTACTTAATGAATAGTGAGCTCTTGAACCCTCACAACAGCCCTATGAGACAGATAGCCTTATCACCCCCATTCTCAGGTGAGGAGAATGAGGCACAGAGAGGTGAACTGACTTGCCCAAGGTCAAGCAGCTAGTTAAGTGCCAGAGCCGGGATAGCCCCCTTCTAGCCTCTCTCTGTGCTCAGAATTCCTAGTCTGTGTTGTCTGATACTCAGCTGCCTAGAATTTAGTCCTGACTTCAACTGACCTGTGATTCTGGGCAAATCCCTCTTCCTCTCTGGTCTGAGTTTCTGCAACTTCAAAAACAACAATAAAGTAGGGGAGGACAGAGAGGACTAGATGTGGGAGACAGAACATAAAGGTAAAAAATTTGAGATAGATTAGAGGAGAAGGGGAGCTAGAGGAGACACCATTAACCCATGAAATGTAAGTGGAGGAGACTTGAAAGGGGTATCCCAGGAGGTACAGGTCTGGGTCATCTCAGCCTAGGGATCTGTGGGGTGTGAGGAGGCTAATAACAGCTAAAGAGTCGCCACTAAGAACTTTCCAGAGGTTGGACCACCAGCTAGAGTGGAGGATGAAACAGAACTGGGCAGCTTTGCAGCCTTCGTGGCCAGGACAGATCAGCGGTCAGGAGTATGCTTGTATGTGTGTCTATATATGTGGGTGTGTGAGTCTGTGGTGAGGCCACCCTCAACTTCAGCAAAGGACCTCAGAAGTCAGGCTCCAGGACAGGTGTATGTGTGCTGATGCATGGCATGCAGGTAGGTAGACCTCTTTGGGAGAAGTCCAGTGAGGCAAGGCTGTCATGCCTGTGCCCAGCTGTGGGGTCCCCCGCTTTCTCCAGCAGGTGTGGGGAGGCCAGAATGACAGGATGAGCTGTCTGTCCAGTGGCCTCCTTGGGTTTCCTCACCCTACTTCCCTGCAGCTAAGACAACCCCCCCCCTTTTTTTAAAACCTTATTTTCCCTTCTTTTCTGGCCACTTCTCAGTCTTCTATTTCCGCCCTTTCCTTCCTCATCCTTAGTGTCAGTTATTCATCCTCAGAATTGCAGCTTCTGCCTTTTCTTCCTATCTATAATCTTCATGAGCCAGTTCATCCCCTCTCAAAACTTTAATGACTACCTGCCCCGTCTGCTGTTATCTCCCAGCTCTGTTATCTCCAGTCTGTATCTCTCACTAGAAATCCAGACCCTTAGATGCAATTGCCAGTAGGATACTTCCTCCGGACATCTTGTTGCCACCATCTGAAACTTGCCAAGTCCCAAACTGAACCTCAACACCTCCTTCACCCCACCAGCAACCCCTACCTCTTTATCCTCCTGAGTTCCGTATTTCCATAAATGGCACCACCAACCTTCAAATTAAAAATAGAGTCATCCCAGACTCTGACTCTGACCTCCCCCACCCATAAGCTGCTCCTCATGGAATGTTGTCATTTCTAACCCTTAAATGTATCTCTCCACTCCTCTGTCTGCACCTTAAGCTACATTCTTTCTCATAGACCAGTGGTCGGCAAACTGCGGCTCGCGAGCCACATGCGGCTCTTTGGCCCCTTGAGTGTGGCTCTTCCACAAAATACCGACTTCTGCACATGAGCCACGAAGTTTCAATCGCACTGTACATGTGCGCCCGCACGTGGTATTTTGTGGAAGAGCCATACTCAAGGGGCCAAAGAGCCGCATGTGGCTCACGAGCCACAGTTTGCCAACCACTGTCATAGACCACTAATTCTCAAAGTGTTGTCCCTGGACCAGCATCGCCTACATCATCTAGGAATGTGTTAGAGGTGCCAGGTCTTGGACCCCACCCCAAATTTGGTGAATCAGTATCTTGGGGGGGGGGCGGGGGAGGCTGGCAATCTGTTTTAATAAGCCCATATAAGGTAAATTCAAGCATAGTATAGTCTGCACACTACTGCCACCATCACAAACCTGCTAACTGGTCTCCTGCCTTCATCCACATCTCTTCTGATCTAATTCCAATTTCATTCAACAACAGTGACTAGACCATGTAACCTTCCTACTGAAAACTCTGCTGGGGCTCCCCAAGACCCATCTTCATGGGGAAGCTTAAACATTCTAACCAGCATTCCAGGCTTTTCGTAGCTGCAACTAATTTTTCTTTCCTGCCTCGTGAACTACTTCACAAGATGAAAGGAGAAAGCGAAAACGTGTCCTGCACTGGGGTTGATGCATGGCAGGTGCTCAGTGAGTGCATATTAAGTAAATGATAAATGAATCCATGGATGAGTTTTTGAACCCCTCCGTCTGTTGGGCATCCCTATAGGAAGCTTCCCTGCAAGCATGGCCCTGGGTAGCTAGAACCCAGGTATAATCGAGAAAGTCATCTGAGAAAGAAGTGATTTTGCTTATGACTACTGGGGGGAGGGATGTTATCCATGGTCTGCTGCTGATTTGGGGAAGTCCTAAAAATTTAAGGGTCCTAAGGGACCTAAGGGTCCTCTGTTGCTCTTCTCTTTCAGGCCCAGGGGACTCTTCATTCTCTCAGGCATGGAGGTGGACTGTGCTGGTTTCTCTGGGACACATGCACACATGTGGAGGCCTGAGATATGCATGGGACATGCAACATGCACAGAGACACTCATGGGAAACACACATACCACATGGGAACACAGGACATATATTGACACATAGGTGTATATGTTCAAACATACATACATCCCCATTGGCATATTTGGCATATTGCTCTTCCCCCAGGCTCAGAATTTTCCCTCTCTTTTCAAAAAGTGAGTTTGCATTTGGACTTTTATGTAAAGAAAAAACTCAGGCCTGTCTCCTTTATTGTTGACACGGCCACACTCCTCCCATCCTCTGATAACCTCCTGCTCTGGGCCTGGCTGAGCACAGGGTGGGGGAAATCTGGCACAAGGAGATGCTTAGGCTCCACCGTGTGGTTAGATCTCACAACTGCAGCTGGGGTCTCCCTATTTCCCTGGAGGCTGAATTACCTGGCCTCTCCTAGTTAGCCTAACCCCCTCCCTATTCCAGAGGCCAGAATTCTCTGACTGTCCCTCACTAAAGTACAGACAGA